ACTTTATAGACATATGATCAAAATATTTTAACTCTTTACAAATTATTTTATACTAAACACTTTATATTTCCAATTTTAAAATTAATTGCTTGAAAAAGTAAAAAAAATCATAAATTGGTATGATAGAATTTTACAAAATATCAAAAATAGATAAGCATCGTATTTTTTTTAAAGACACTTAAAGCTTTAAACATCCGTCATCAAAATAAAAATTATTTTTTTCTTTAATAATTTTAACTATTACGTAGTATTTTAAATATAAATCGTAAGGTCTAACATTTTTCACTATCGCGTAAATAATAACATCCTATACACAATATATTTTTTTAAATATTTAGACTAATTTTAAGTTATTTAAACAATAAACCAATTCAAATCATTCTACAGAATGTAGTATTGACTTGGAAGTTAATAATAATATATTATTATGATATAAATCCAATATTTTTGGAAAAAAATACTTCGATATTTATTACTTCTAATATAAATTATTATAAAAGTAATATAATCAAATAATTTAATACAAATTAAACACATAAATAACCATTACCAACTCGATTATAAGATACACTTAAAATTATTTATTTTTGATACTTTACATAATACTATCATAGTATCGTTGTGTGAACAATAATTGCGCGAAATATACCTATTTTTATAGGAGTTGTGAAACAGTTTGAAGAGGGAAGTGTACCGTACATCTAAACTAAGCCATATATTATCACTCGTTTTCACATTATCGGCACGTCCCACTGCCGAAAATGTAAATAAAAAAAAAATGTTTACATAATTCTGCCACAAACCACTTTACGGTTATATTATTACGGTGAACGTACGTTCTTCTCACAGCATTTTATGTTTGTGAAAAAATGTAACAAAATCATTAATTTATTGACATATTGATACCATACAATAGTTATATATATATATATATATTACATAATCACGTCATCCATTAAATAATATTATAATACTTAATTTACCATGATAAAAGTGCGAGAGGAGACTTTATTATTTTTATTATAAAAATGTTTTAACTAATCAATAATATATTTTAGACATTTCGGAATAATGATCTTACACATCAACCAGTAAACTATTATTAATAAATTAATACTCAATTTTACAAAATCAATAAGCATATTTAAAATAAAATAGATTGTTATCGATATATTTTCAAGAAAAAATTTAATTTGGATTTGAATAAAATTCCATAGTTATACAATAATCAGGAGATATTTCACAATACCTGAAATTGTTGAGAACTATAAAAAAAATTTTTATTTCAACAAATTATGTTAATTATTAAGAATTTCTTTTTATCTTTGGCAAATTTTTGTTTATGATTAGAAAATCATTGATATTTATAGACAGTGTAATGATTAAACTAACTAATTAACTTGTCACTAAATGCTAAAAATAATTTTTTATGATATGAAAAATTATTCAAAGATATCATACTATAAAGTAAAAGCCTCTTTCGTAAACTTGAGGCACATATCACAAATGGGTTATAGCGAGTTCACATAATATATCATATGACGTGTCTTTCACACCGGTTGGATGTATTGTTTTAACCAATTAAAAAAAGAAATCAAATTCTATTTTTATTTTCACGTTGTATATTCACCACATGTACTATATTTTAATTGTGTTCCGAACAAAGAATTAAATTACATAATAAAATATATATACATGTGTGCGTACATATAATTTAAGGAGTGTTAGAAACGTATCAAGCTTATATAATATAATATTAAAATAATACAGTAAACTTTAAACGTTTTCAAATTTGCACACGAAAATCGATTTATATATATATATATATATTATTTAGTTTTTAAATCATATTAACCTTTTAACTTCACTTAAATAATAAAGATATAAATAGTTGGTTTGGTTTGATATTAATAGCAGCAGGACATTTTTCTTAAAATATATTAGGTTCACACTGTTCACAGCACGAAAAAGAATATCATTATTTTATCTATTTCTCGCTGTTCTTGGACACTGAGCCCGCCGTCAATGATCATTTATGGCGTGTTGTTTTAAACGCTCCCGCGCACTGAAATTAATGTACACGAAAGCTTTTACCGAAAACGCACTCACACATGCCACCACCACAGAGATGGATATCATCATTATTCCCGTATACAGCCCATATCAATGATATTCTCGTAATATAGAAATGTCAAGAAAACACACTACAGCAACGGTGACGTATGGCGGAGATCTTCGTTGGCCGCGGACCGTATGTTTTTATCTGTATAGTGAGTACGTGTATATATTTGAGAAGCGTATCGATTTTTCAATCAAAAACCGACCACGACCACTTCTAAGGAAAAAAATATGTTCTACTTACATATTTTATACTCCGTTATACAATAGTATTCTATGAAATTATCTAGATTTAACACAGTATGATACATTTTTGATTTTACTAAATATAATCGCTCTTAGAGAAAAAATAATAATATTTCATAATATACGTAGCACCTACTGACGTTGGTCTTACTTTAATTAACGAGAAAAAAGTTTTTAAAGTTATACGAATAAAAACTCATGTTACATAACATGCATTGTATAAATACTGCGATGTAATGATGAACGTAAATGTTTCATTGTTCACCGTCAAAATCAAAAATAATTGCAAACGGGGAGGAGATTTTTCTACTGACACAGCTTTTGACAATATTTTTACCAAAGCTTCTACCCAAGTGTTGACATTTACATTCAATTTCAACTTTCAAATATAAATTGATCTCTTCGTATAATATATCTGATAATGTTACAATGACAATGCGAACTATAATTCTATGAAGCAACTATTTTAAACAAGTACCCACACCCATCAACTGCTTCCGTGTTAATATAAAAGGCTGAATAAACCTATACAAAACCCTAATTCATAAAGTATTTGTAAATTATAAATGTGTCTGTATTCATTAAGTTCCTCACCCACTATTACATAAAGCGATCACTTCAGAAAATTCACGCCACCATTAAATATGGAACTAATAGTTTACTAATTATCATAATTTAAAGTTTATATAAGACTGGACATAGAAAATATCAAATTTTCTGATTCAGCTCTTTTACTCTTCAAATATTTCTATTAAAAAAAAAAAAAACTATATTTAAATAAACTATTTGTCTGAAATTATAAATTATAAACTGTAAATTCATATATTATATCAATAACATATAGATAGTTTAATGTATGTATGAATACGAAGTCGTTATAAAAGTATGATAAATACAAGGAGGAATAGAGGTCTTCTATAAAATAATTATGACATTCGTATTTATCGGTGTCAATAAAATATCAATTATAAGCACTAAATAAATTTAATAATTATAAGAAGAATATATTGATGATTTCTCAGAAAACGTAATTCAACACTGTCGAAAAGTATTTGACGTATAGGACGCATTATTTTTAAAACGCAATACTATTATTGTAACACCTGATTGATGCTGACACGACATTATCTCAGTTTCACACTGTACGACGAATAAAGGCTTTTATGGTAATCATATATGTATGTTTAAGAATATTGTACTATATGTATATTTTACACGACGCTTCCAGAATAAACAATATATTATAATAATTCGTGAAATATTGTACACCAGCGCGATCGGGTTGTCATTTGAAAGAGATCATTTAAATGTATTAGTTATTTTTGACTCAAAACATCAAAACTAGGTTATTTATTAAAAATAATAATTATATGTACTGGCGAGTAACATATTTGAAACTACTTTTAACGATAAATTCAGCATAAATCTGTTTATGATACGTGTCTTGAGAAAGAAAAAATCTTTCTTCGGAAATTACGGTAAATCTTAAATATTTTTTTTTCATACAATCTTATACATAATATTTGGTATGATAAGCATAAATTAGTTTACAGGTTTAAGTCATGTAGATGGGAGTAAGTCATAATATAGGTGACGTTGATGGAGAAGTTGCCGACTGGCGACACTCCGATTTGTGAATATTATACTTAAGGTTAGTCAAGAAATAGGTTATAACACTATTTCCTTTTCAAACTTTTTGGAACGTTTCCTGGGATTGGATTAGAAAAACTTTAAGCAAGAATGTTTGGATGTTCGGGAAATGAGTTGTGGTAAACATTGTAAGATTAAGAGGTGGTTTTTAATACTGTTAGGAATTTTAGTTTGGTGTGTGCAGCGTTTAGTTCAAAACGTAGAAAGGGGCTTTTGTGATTTGGCGTAGTGTTTTATTTGGGAATACTTGGGTCTTTTTTTATGTTTGATCTTTTTGCCAAGCCTCAGATTTTGGACGCCAAAAAACCTTAAATATAACATGATATTATCTACCCGTATCACAAAGGAAACACGCGTAGAATAAACATAATACATAATACTTCTATATTATGACATATCTAAACGAGTATTAATATTATGTACATTGTGTCTGTAAAAACGAAGACGTGTTATTGTTCGCATCGTGTTTAAACGAGGGTAAAATTGAAGCGAAAAAAACCTGAGGACGTACAATGCTGTGGACGAAGAATTTCAACAGTAGGTAGACGTGAGGATAACCCCTTTTCCCAAATCCCACTTAAGTGTTTCATCGTATATACATAATATTATATATACGCACTCGTATATATGTATAATGCATATTATAGAATAGTGCGACAATAACAAGTCCTCCTCTAGTGTTTATATATATATATATGTTGCGACCTATATACATATTACACATATAATGTGCATTTATATAAAGCGTATATATTTCATTGTGTACGTATATATATATATAAATACGATGTCTTTAAGACAACTCTCCGAGGGTGGCACGTATATATAATATGATAATAATAGCCAAAGATTATAAGTGTATATAATAATATATACTCGTATGTAATATATTACACCGGTGTAGTATTATTATTGGTGCAATATATAATATGTATAATAATAATAATAATGAACGCAAGAATATTTATTTATATATAGGTACTCACTGAGTGTAGCGTTGTTGAGTTTAGTCTGATCCACTTGACCTCTGAGCGCCCGGAGCTTGCGGAGCTTTTGTTCCTGAGCCTCGACCCGATCCCGGAGGCGGCGGAGCCTCTCGTGCTCCGCCGCCACCTGATGGTGCTTGGTATCGTGTTGTTTCAGGTAGCGGAGCCGCTGCTCTTTGGCAGCCAACAGCTGCCGCTGCGACTCGATCTGATGCTGTTGCCGGCACGCCATCTCTTCCAGCTCCCGAACCGTCAGTTCTGTGCCTGTTTCGCCCGACGTCGGTAACTAAAAAATATTTCAAATTAGCTTCTTCTTTTTTTTTTTTTCTTTTCTTTTTAAAGAGCTATCTTTTCGATTTCCCACCACCTTTTTCCATAGAGAATTAGAGTAATTAACCTCGTCGACCATCCACGGTATTATAATCTAAAACTACATTATATAAACTAAACAAATAGCCTGTTTTATCTCGTTAATCGAGATTCGATGGGCACCGAAAAAAAAGTCGTCGTGCGAAGAACAAAATGCAACGTCATTCAATCAACGTCCGGATAAGGACCGTTGACTAACAATAATGCACCAATCAAACGCAGTGCATACAATTATTTATTTTTATTATCATCATACAATTATAACACGTATATTAAATAAGAATCATTTATAGTATTGGTATCGGCGACAACATGCACTAAATTCGGGTCTGTCTTTTTGTTTTTTTTTTTCGATTTTACCGTTTATTATTTTTACATGCCCTTTAAAACATTTTACGCGTGAACCGTATACACATAAAATGTAAATATGATATTATTATCCTAGTATGATAATGCACATTATATTATATTATTATATGGATTTAACGCTATAAATACACCGTTACTCGACAACGCCGTGTCCATGTTTAATCCATTAACCGCGGCGTATTATCAATATGTGGCTTTTGGTCCTACCCGCGGGCACCGACCGTATAAAAACAACTAATAAAAGTCAATTTCCGTTCGTAATCTTATGCATAAACCTATACGTGAAAATTTGACCTCGTACGAATAATAATACCTACTTAATATAATAATATTAGGCAAACCGAGCAACGGAGCATAGATAATCGATATGGATGAAATAATAATAATGACGAACTCTCCGACATCATCGAAACGTGTCAATATGCCCAACTATATAAAGGTTAGGTTGCACATAGGATACCATAATCTAACCAAACCCATAACATTGTTCGAAAATCATCCTCAATGTAATCACCATGTTTTAGGCTTGTGCGACAATAACTTCAGTGTCGTTTACATATTTTAACGAAGATAATCGCGAGCGTGATCAGTGGTGGCTACACTTACGATCCACACAATAATATGTATAGTGCATGCATGTAGGCGTGATTTTAACAAAAATTTACCGTTTGTCGATGGTCGAACATCACAACAGTGTACCACTTAATATTAGTGAACGATGTACATTATAACAACACATTAACAATACTCGAATCATTGCGGTTATTTTCAGAGAAAGAGAGAGAGAGAGAGGAGTAAGGAAATAAAACATCGCTAACAATAATAATAATAATTGCACACACACGTACCACTCGTGTACTTAATGAAAAACATTGTCAGTGAAATAACTTCACATATATTATTATTGCGGAACAAAGCATTCATGTATTATAGTATTATACGAACTACGAGTTAACACTCTATATTATATACATCACGCATACATATATATGCATGAATATTTTTTTTTCTACCATAGTAATTAAAAAACTCATTTTGAAGAGTAAATCCGAGTATATAATATTATAATATAATATCCGATATAAAGAGTGGACCCACTAAGATTTCCTTTTTTCTAGTGCTTACTCTATGAAAAAAAAAAATATGAAAAGCTCCCTGAACATAACAAGTGTAGTTACATGATCAATAAACTTACAAATACGCGATATATAATTTATATTTTAACATGGTTTGATATTTAAATTGAAACAAAAACGATCTCATCCCTATAGCACTTAAAATGTTTACTCTAATTACAAAAAATATAAAAAGGTGTATGAAACAACATTAAATTCATACCATTAATGGTTATAACAGTTATATAATACACGTACAAGTTCCGCAGCGATGGTGTGTAAATATCTATAACGGCTACTAAATGATCCGTTGGTGTGCATACATATTTCATCACAAACGACATAAGCAGTTGTTAATTACGTCCGTCGTTCTTTATAATATAATAAGTTATTTTTTGCATCACATTTTCTAACATTGAATTTCTGAAAAACTTAATTGGGCGGAAAAGCGATAAAAACACAACTGTTACAAAGAAAAGTGTTTATTTAATTGAAACATGTGTATATAATATACTTTTAAAAAAGTAATCTCATCGAATTACGAAAAGTTTCAAGATGACAGCACATATAAAATAGATAAACAGATATATATAAAATTATTAATAATGAAACCACGTTCAGCAGATTTTTTCTTTTCTTAGCGCCCTCGAGTGTAGAAAAAAAAATACTATTTTGATAACACAAAACGAATTCTGAAACTAACTCGGTATTATCTATGTATAAATATAAGTAACTAATTGTATGGATAAATATACTTATATGTATACGCAATAAGTATGTGTTTTATTTTTGATTGATTACGCTAGCGGGTTTCAATAAACCACGTAAGTCGATCAGTCATGGACTGACGAGTTTTGGTCTGAAATAATTTACTTATGGAGTTTTGGGTCAGGGCAGTTGGCGAATGGTGGTGAGGAGGTAACGAAAATAAAATACTATGGTTAATAACACGGTTTGTGAACATACAAGTCAATATAGCATATACTATACATGCTTGTAAGTGGAGTCATAGCAAGCGAAAAAGTTGTTCTAACTAGGATTATACTATTAAAATAAAAAACAAATAAATTAATATAGACGATTTAAAAAAAGAAAAAAAGTAATTATAAAACGACATAATTGTATATATATATTTATATTCTTACGTTAAGCTTCGATGTTGTGAGATATACACATTATTACACTAACTAAATTTAAAACAACACCTTAGGGATGCAAAGGGTGCTGCGTAATGCAAAATTCATATGAACACGAGCGTTTTATATATGCGGGGCAGTTATATATTTTTTTTTTTTTTATCACAAGATGGACAATGTGAATATCCACGTAGATGTTATACGATTTTATTATTTTTTTTTTATTATTATTATTATCTTGGATGAAAATGTTTGAATATAGTAGAGTAAAAAGTTTTTGATTCTCAACATAAATGATGTCGTTAAAAAAAGAAAAAAAGCATAAAATACTTTTCAAAATACTGCACCGCGTCAATAGGAAGACGTTGAACAAACACTAAACACCATCTCTTACATATGAAAGGCATTATATCAGTTGTAATATTATACTGGCGGAGAAAATACTTTATCGTCAAACGGTACGGAACAAAATAATTCGAATGTATGCGACAATATTCCTGTAGTGATAATTCATGAATGCATAGAGAAATTGCATTTTTAAAAGAATAAATAAACCGAATAAAATATCTCTGTATTTGTATTATACGAAATAATGAAATATCGAAGTGTATGAACGTTCGAGATAAGACCGCGTGACTAAAAAAAAATAATACTCTTATGCGTCTACAAACCGTTTTTATTACATTATTTAATCATATATATATATATATGTATGTATGTATGAAACCTAACTTAAAATTACGTACACGCAAAAGATCTTGATAATCGTGAAATATAGTAGACATATGGTTTCTAAATACCTAGATAATATATTATGTGTGATGTGTAAGTGCCCCTACTGATGACAATTGAGTAAATCCGGTATACGGGGTTCTCTCAACTGATATCACGCCGCAGACATTTTCCCGAGCCATTTTCTTTTATTTCCATCCAATTTAATTCGTTAGAGTGTTTTCTGTAATTTATTTTATAATCCGAGGAGATAGGAGTATTGGAGTATTGGCCATAAACCCACAACTACACGTGTGGAGCACGAGATTATGTGTATACAATTGTCTTATATGGTCAACCTCCAAAAGCGTTCCTCTCTTAAAAATATATCTATTGCATGTGCGTACTTGCCGTAAATAAATATTTTATATTCATAATAGATATATGCTAAAATACCAGGGTGATACAATGGAAAGAAATACACCAACATAAATCAAGCTTAACACCCTCACTAGTTGTGTATGTGTGTATGCAAACGCAAGTAAACGTTTTTGAAAATCCCGAGGGTGTGCTTTTATGTAAATACATTTTTACATGATGGTGTTTCTGAAAACCCATCTTCAACCGCAATGGGTAGACATCATTTATATTGTTTTTAGTGTCGATCACAATATTGCGAATAATTTTAATTTTTATAATTTTATATATTATACAGGTATGTATAAATGTATAACAAACATAATGTTGGTTTTAATTTATAGCCATCGCAAGTTGAAAAGACTGCTAGATAAACAACGGTTCAAAATTCGTCCCAATTCATTATCGCGCGAACGTATTAAAAAATACAAACCCGACAGAAACCTTAAAAAAGACAATCGGCGAAACCTTAAAAATAAAATAGTCACGAACGTTTCAATTTTACTAGTGAATACCCGTGAAAAAAATTAAACCAATATATTAATATACATAACAATTATATTATATAAATATAACTAAAACTATATTGTACTACCCCATTTACTATCGGGTTTTCCATTTAAACCAGACCGTTGTGTGTACCAGGAATCGATTACGACTCTTTGTATTTGTTAATTGCAGAACTTGTGATTGTTAATTATTTTCGTGATCACACGTAACTAGTCACGTGGTATATACTATATAATAAATAATATTGTGTATATTTCTTTGACCTTCAATTGAAGCCTAATATTTTTCAGATAAAATTTGAATACTACCGTTGCAATAGCTCCGCAGTGATTTTGCACGTCATTGACCAATCGACCAAAACTGTTCGTGACTACAATAACCATTACTACAGTAATTGTTTAATGCATTTCATTATAGATGCAGAATACCAATATACATACAGCTTGATATTTAACTTTAAAATCAGTTCGTACAAGAAAAATAATGTCATATAGGGTAGTTCGAATGAAAAAAAAAAGTGTGTATTTAATTTAGATTTATACATACCTATGCCTACAATTTTCAATTAATATAATATAACATATTTTACCTAGGAAATGAACGTTTCGTTAGAAAATAAAATACCAATGCATTTTATATTTCATAATAACTAAAAATAT